TACACCTTGTCTTGTATAATATTCAAAATTGTACGAAAGTTGCACGGAGTTTGGAAGAAGGACATCACAAACTCAACAAACTATTAGATTCCAAATATTAATTGCAACATTTGCATTCAAATTATTTTCGGACATGAGGATGTTGAAACTTAAAAATAATAGCAAAAACTTAAAAAGAAAGAACAATAGACGAATGTTTGACATAAAGAACAATAATACATATGCATATATATAGGTGTAAGTGTTAAGGATTCAATGACAATTGATAGAATTTGATTCTGCAAATATATAAATCGAGTTCCAATACCAACCTTAAATTGTATATTAATGTAAAATAATATCCAACTATTCAGCCCATATATCAGTAAATTTGTTTAATTTATGTTACTAGTATTCTAGAAGATGTGGTTGTTTTATTTATATATATATATATATATATATATATATATATATATATATATATATATATATATTTTTTTTTTTTTTTTTTTTTTTTTTTTCATTACAAGGGAAGGGGACACCCAAACTATTAATTGCCTCCACTGAGGCTCGAACCTATCACCTCCCACTTAGAGAAACAATCAGATACCATTGGACCACAAGGTCCTGATAGATGTGGTTGTTATATGTCTATATGTCCAAAGGCAAATTATTGTGTGGACCATGAATATCAGGTATATTTTTGATATATTAAAAGTACATTATTTGTATACTGAAGGTACATTATTTTTGTTCTGAAAGTACATTATATAAAATAATGTATCCTTAGTATAATAAAAATGTACTTTTAAAAAACGGGGTACATAAATAATGTACTTTTAGTATATTAACAATGTACTTTTTATTTATGGTCCACATAATTGTGTCGACCATGGTCCATGCAATAATGATTGATGTTCAAATGGTATGGCCTATTTGGTTACAATATGTCCAGGGTATTCATTTGGTTAATGAAGTGGTATTGGGTACTACATAATGGGCTGAATCTTCATAGGCCCAATCAAATGTCCAATGTTATTGGCAAATTTTATGTTGACTATTATCCACACAGTGTTGTGTGGCAAATTATGCTATGCGCACGTGCGCACCTTGCAAGGTCCGCACGGCGCTAAAATGGCGTCGTTTTTCGTGAAAACGACGCTATTTTAACTAAAAAAATAATTTGTTCGAAACGCCGTTAACGGCATATTCGTTATGAAATTATGAATATACAGTTATGACATTATGAATGTACAGTTATAGAATTATGAATGTATAGTTATGGAATTATGAACTTACAATTATGAACATAGAGCTTCGAAAATTATGAATGTTCGGTATGGAGTTATGAATATACAGTATGGAATTATGAATGTACAGTTATGGAATTATGAATGTACAGTTATGGAATTATGAATGTACAGTTATGAAATTATGAACATAGAACTCTGACATTATGAACTTACAATTATGAACATAGAGCTTCGAAAATTATGAATTTACAGTTATTGAATTATGAATGTACAGTTACGGAATTATGAATGTACAGTTATAGAATTATGAATGTACAGTTATGGAATTATGATTGTACAGTTATGAAATTATGAACACAAAGCTGTGAATATATGCTCCTATAACGAAGCGGTCTAAAATTAAATTAAAAAAAAAAAAAGAAAAAAAAAAGAGGGAAGATAACAGTGCCTGACGGCACCGTTATCCGTGCCCATGAAGCACGCTGGGCACGAGCCCACAGCATAACTATCCGTGTTGTGTGAACCATAAAAAAGTAAATATTTAATTTATTATAATACTAGTATTTTTTATGCGCGATACGCGAAAAATAGGTGCCCAATATTAATACATTATATTAAAATTTTAAATTTATTTAGATTTTAGATATTTAAATTATTCTAAATAATAATAATAATAATGTAAATCATTTTTATAAATTTGATATTTATATTTTAGGTAATAATTAACATATAACTCAAATATATAATGTGTATATATTATTATTAAATTAATGAAGAAGATAATAAGAAAATATATGGTGGATGCATGTGCATGGTAACAATAGTGGAAAAGATAACGTAAGTTATAACGGTAGGGGTATGTTTGTCCAAAATATTTTAATGTACAACCTTTATAGCATAATGTACAAAAAAAAAAACTTAATGGAAAAAACGGACATAAATGAGGGGTATAACTTTCATTGACACTTATTATGTTTTTAAAAAAGTATATTACTTATGTATCAAATGTATATTATTCAAAATAATGTAGTTTTAATACTCGTACATTTATTTGTTTGAAATAAATCAAATTCTATTCATTCTAAGTGAGAAATACGTGTTTTTGGCCCTTACAAATTACACCTACATATATGCATATGTATTACTGTTTCCGTGTCAAAGAATCCTCTAATGTTTTTTCTGTTTTATTTATTGTTATTACTTTTAAGTTTTAATATTGTCATGTAATTAGGAAATAGTTTTAATTCCCGACATATGAATGCAGATGATTCAATCAATATTTGAAAGTCGGTGGTATGTCAAGTTTGTGATACAGAACAACTTATGTACTAATAAAAAAAACAAATCAAAAAAAAAAAAAAAAAAAAAAAAAAAAAAAAAACAGTATGTGCAAAGTGAGCACGTCCACCGCACGCCCCCACTAATAATTGCTCTAATTTTAATATTATCTTAAAATTTTATTTTTTTAGAAAAGGTGGGGCCACAAAAATCCACCCAAAACCCATCAACGGGTTGCTCTTCACACCCACACACGAGTGCGTATTATATTTTTTGTGTCAAATCTTCCTCTAATGTTCTTGTTTTTTTCCACTAATACTTTTAAGTTCTAACATCCTCATGTCAAAAAATAGTTTGAATTTGAAACATGTAAATGTAGTTGTTCCAATCAATATTTGCAATCCAGTGAGTTATTGAGTTTGTGATATTCTTTTTCCAAACACCACACGACTTTTATACCATTTTGAACATTATATATAAGACATGCTGTTGTCCTCTCACATGTTGTTCACGATGCGCAAATTTCTTTTTAATTTGATATCTCCAAAATTTGATTGCATCAATATACCTTTAGATAAATTGCAATTGCTTTAGAATTTTCTCGGCATCTTCTCAGTGACACTATAAATAGTCGCCATCGACAAAGAGAACCATCGAATTTTGTTGAGGGGGTTGAGTTAGGATCAAAATGGAACATTTTTAGATCATCCGTGGAATTAATATAATCATGCTTAGAAGGAAATGCAACATCACTCTTATTTTGCTTACTTGTCTTTTCTAAACGCGATCGTGCAAAAATAAATGTTCAATATGGTTGCTCTTACACCAATGTATATATATATATATATATATATATATATATATATATATATATATAGAATCGCACTCAGGTGCGAATGCTTTGCCCAGGAGCGAAATAGGAATGGATTCTGTCTGTCCACGTGTCCAGATCTAATGGATGAGAAACACTGATTTTTTAAAAAAGCGCGGTGGCATTTTCGTAAATAATTGAACATCGAAGTGCAAGTAAAATGTATTACAAGTGCATGTAAAATGTATTATAGGTGCAAGTAAAAATTTACACTGAGCATCAATACTAAGTGCACATATAGTTCTAAGTAGTTGCACACATAGTTATAAGTAGTTGCACCTAGGTGCATGAATGTTTGCGGGTGATTTTCAGGGGTATTACTACCCGCTGAACTCAGATCAATGAATGCTAACAAGGCAAAATTACATGCACTTATAGGTGAAAGTAGGTGCACCTATAGTTATAAGTAGTTGGACCTATAGTTATAAATAGTTGCACCTATAGTTATAAGCACACCCAGGTGCATGAATGTTTGCGGTAAGTGAATACTCACAACGCAAAATTACATGCACTTATAAGTGAAAGTAGGTGCACTTGTAAGTGATTTTACTTGCACTTTGATGTTCAATTATTTACGAAAATGTCACCGCGTTTTTTTTAAACTATTAGATCTGGACACGTGTCGCGCGCTGATTCGTTCGCATATTCCTTCATGGGCACTTATTCGCACCTGAGTGCATCCCTTTATATCTTCTATTATAATAAAGCAGAACCCTATGGTTCCCGCCTAATTGTTGTTCAGATTGGCGCAATAAGGAGCAATTTCGGATTTGCCTACTAATTATAGTTAATCATAATAAACAAATATAATTAATGCGCCATTTCAAAATACGATCAGTTCTAATTGATTACACAGTCCTCTATTTTGCCGATGGTAGTAGAACTCTAGAACTAATAGAATACAAATAATACAAAAAGGCGCAACACAATATTAATTACATTGCTGTTACAATAGTTAATATTTAATATATTATATTAAAAATCTAAAAGGGCATAACAATGGTGTTAAATACTTAATAGGGATTTAAATTCTAGCTTCATATCTCCGATGCAACGTATCAGATGACGACCTTGAGTATCCAACGCATCTGATCCTCAACCACTATATAAATAAGGTCGGTAGTAGACAAAGGCCTACGCATTTATCCGCACGTTGCTGAACAACAAATCCCTTCCAAAAATATCTCTCATACATCATGTACCCAATGGTTATTCTCTAAGGAATTTGCCGAGAGCGATGAAGGAAAAAATCCTCTTGCGGTTGGTGTTGCTAGCAACCAAGATGCTGTGGGTGATAATTTAGTTGTAAAGCGAGCCTTCTGGATGAGTTCTAATCAACACAAACTTAAAGGACAAAGTCATTCTCAATGTTAAGCTTGAAGGAGTAAAGTGAGTTCTCTTAATTTAGTCTTTTTTTTTTTTTTTTTAAAAAAAAAAGCTATATTGTACTCATAAAATATTTGAGCTGTTTTGAAAAAAAAAAATCAAACTGTATTATCATCATTTGCAAGCAGTGAATGTTAATTATATTTAATTTGAAAATTAAATAAATGAACAAAAATCAATCAGAAAATATTACAGACTGAACTTGAGTAATAAAAGCCTAATGATGTACCTTGTGTCCATATTTGCACTGATCCACAATGAAGGATAAGTTTTGATCTTACCTTGAAAGATTGTTTTCTTAGATACAGGTATAAGTTTACAAGCCTGCAGGTAATAAGCTTAAATCTTATTACACAGTCTTACTGTCAAGGTTAGACTGATAGCTCTTATAAAATTATTTGTAAGGAAATTCATATATATATCTATTTATTACTGTATATGAAATATTAAAAATCTAAGAACACATGCAGTGTCGAGTAATACTTACAGACAAACAATTGAGATGCCTTCTTCCAATACTTCAAATCTGCCCATAATTGAGGTTAATGATAATACATAAAAAACACAATTTACAAAATCAGCTGTGATGGGAAGGAAAAGGAAACAACCTTCAGAACAATGGTACCAACTCTTCATCTTTTCTTTAATATTAGGGACCGATGTGTACAGTTTATCATTTTGCATATATGTTATTGTTAAATACATGTAATACGAAACCAACCAGATGGCTGATGTTACTGTAAATCATACGTCTCATATGCCTGCGAACACAACAACAAACTGTTATATGGATTACCCTCTTCAGAAACCAAAACCATAGACGTATGTATTTATGCACTATTAATTTCTAAAAATATTTCTTAATGCATATGTGTTGCACCAACAGTAGGTCTTTCACATCTTTGAAAGAAAACCCAGATTTGTTATTGTATGGTTGTGGGTTGCTCACAGACAATGGAAGTAAAATAGATCAAGGTAAAGAGTTATAGTTTTTGTTGTTAAGAATATAAATGTAATGTAATCCTAATTTTACATCAGAATAAAACTGCTGGTTACAATATTTTGTTTGTTTTAATGTTTAGATGCATTGTAGTTTCACACTTAGTTACAAATTTTTGTATTTTTTACTGTACTACATTAAATTTGTAAGTGTAATTAACTATCCTCCTCAACATTACCTCACATAGCATTAATTTTTAAAACTTGGGTAAAAATTACTTCAAATACAATGAACTGGATCTTGGTTTCACAGAAATGAATTGTTTGGTTTCAAAGTATGCTAAAGTATGCTACCAAATTTAAGGACAAGACATTGTAGGTAATTATAGCAAGACATTGCAATCTGGATATTCACAAGTGGCAAGGAATGCAGAGCTGGAAATCAAGTAAACAGATGCAACATGGGTGGTTTATTTAGCTGTACTTATAACAAAAAATGAATACATTTCAAGTCAGAACATGGTTCATGTATTTCAAATCTCTGAATATCAAAATTTCACAATGTGAAATTTAACTTTGTGATTCAAAAGGCATAGTAAAAACAGTATATTAACTCTAATTTACGTATTAATAACTTACCTAATTGCAATAGATGAAAACTTACTTTGCAGTGTAAGAATTCCCTTTACGATTATTTCCTGCAATAGTTCACTCAAAACAATAATTAAGCTCTATAGGACAAATCAAAATACTAACTACATACCATCAATTTAAAGTTAAAAAATAAAAAAAAATAATAAAAAATTGAGGTGTGTAAGAATTCTCTGCTGCTGCAATAACCATTCAAAAACTTTACTAAGCTCATCAAGTGAATATATGATACTTACTTTCTGATAGTGATGCAAAGTAGATAAGAAACTTAAAATTAAATTTAAAACTAAGAAAAATAAAATTAAACCAATGAAATCTAAAACTAGGTAAGAAACTTAACATGGATTTGAATGTCAACAAGTCAGTATAAAACTGAATGTAGTGATTGGGATCCATATAAAAGGAGCATTGAGGTTAATGATAATACATAAAAAAACACAATTTACAAAATCAGCTGTGATAGGAAGGAAAAGGAAACAACCTTTAGAACACTGGTACCAACTCTTCATCTTTTCTTTAATATTAGGGACCGATGTGTACAGTTTATCATTTTGCATATATGTTATGTTATTGTTAAATACATGTAATACGAATCCAACCAGAAGGCTGATGTTACTGTAAACCATACGTCTCATATGCCTGCGAACACAACAAAAAACTGTTATATGGATTACCCTCTTCAGAAACCAAAACCATAGAGCACTGCATAGATAACATAGCAATGAATCACAAAACAACGTATAAGGCAAGCTAAAATTTTTAGATACAGGGCAAAAAATTTAGAAAAATCGTGTTATATAAGGGGTAGTAAGCAGAGAAATACACGAAGACATAACATACCTACTATAAACTCAAATTAAGATGGGTCTTAGTAATAGCCTACATGTTCAGAATAGAGATGAAACTTTTTTGAATCAAGTAACAGAATCATTTAAACCCGTTTTGTTAAATAGAAAGTTTACTTATAAAAAAATTCAAACAACAAAATGAAAGTATTTTGCTTCAAATTTGACTTTAGAACTGCGAATCCACCCAATAGATTACAAGATAATGCAGATACTAACATAAGAATACAAAATTGGATGTCAAAATCGTCATGCATGTGATCTAGAAAGAAGGATTTCATCAAATATATACTTTAATGCGACTTAGTAAGTAAACAAACCCTTAATAGTTAGGGTTCACTGTATCTACTCAATTTCTTAAGAATTGTATAATAGAATTGGAATTAAGTGAGAGATATACTAGAAAACATACCAGAATAGGAAATTTAACTATGAAATTGACAGATACGGCTAGAATGTACAAATCTAAAATGGGGATTGTAGAAATAGACAAAGTAGGCCATACGGACATAAAATCGCTAAGAAGAAGAACCCACCATATATAGGATCATCTACCAGCTGAAGTATACAAACGAATTTGCTAGGTAAAATAGTAGATGGTATGGCCTTGTGTAGAACCTCTAGCACACCAAAGAAGACAGCGAGAAAGTTCTGGAAATGGAGTCAGTAGCCGTGTAAAATTGCCAATTTAGATATTAGAGGGCTGTGAGGGTATTTTCGTAAATTTGATTCACTAAGCAATAATAATGTTAAATTATTTGTGTGTTAATTAATATATTAATAACTATATTATGTGTGTAAATTTCCATAACAAGCAATAATATTATTATTCTATTATTAGTGTGTTAATATATTAATATTAATACTATGTTCAAATTAATATTTTGAACAAATTAGTATACTATGTTTAATATATTAATATTAATAGTATATAAGTAGTGGATACGTGGACTAAGCTATATAATTATTATTATTATTATTATTATTATTATTATTATTGTTAATAATAATATCAATATATTAGGATTAATAATAATATTAATATATTTTCTTAAAACAAATTATGTATTTTTTTTTTTAGAAGAGACGGCCATGTGCAGTATTTGTACGCACCGCAGTTAAAACGGTGTCGTTACTTTTAACGGAGCGCGCATTTTGTATATGTTAATAACCAACTGACACTACAGTATATCTAAACCGACATTGCCTCACGTATTATTTTTATATTATCAAATGAAACTTCAGTTATATCAAAATGATACTGTAGTTGTGGTGAAATGAAACTGAATAACATTTCACATATTTGAGTGTATATTGTACAATGGAGCTGTAATTATATCAAAATGATCATGTAGTTGTGTTTTAATAAAACTATAGTGTATATAAAATTAAATTAGATAACATTTTCACATATTTGAGTCTATAAATACCAAATGAAACTGTAGTTATATGAAAATGAAATTGTAGTTGTGTTGAACCGAAACTACAGTGTATACAAAATGAAACTGAATAACAGAGTTACTTTTTGCGGAAGAGTGCGGAACGGCAGGAAACATATGTCGTTTCTTTTCATTAAACAAAACAACGTCGTTTTGATCCGCGGTACATAATTAATTATGCATCGCGGTGCACGATATAATTTGATGTATTTGTTATACTAATTTGATTTCTATGTGATACTTTAGTAGAACTTATACATTTTTATCTTTTAAGTAAAACTTTCTCATAAACGATTCTTATGTTAATATTCAATTAACTTAACTTAATAGTCTATAAATATTATCCGTGCATCGCACGGGACAATTACTAGTATATATATATATATATATATATATATATATATATATATATATATTTTGGTGTAAGAGCAACCATGATGATGGCGTAACACCAATGTGTGTCTATATATATATATATATATATATATATATATATATATATATATATATATATAGTTATATAGTTCTAAGTAAGAAGTGCACAATTTTTGGATCCTTACGACATATGACAACATCAATAGTCGTTTTTTTATTTCTTTTGTTGGAGGGGGGAATGGGGGAGGGGTTTGAGGGTGTGGATGAAAGAGAGCATGAGGGGCCATGTAGTGGTGAGAGCAATCATTATTGTGTGGATCATGGTCCACACAAGTTGTGTGGATCATATTTTGTATACGGTAAAATAATGTATCTTTAGTACAAAAATAATATATATTTAGTACAAAAATAATGTGCATTGTATTCAGGAGATGTACATTATTTGTGCACTGAGTGTACATTATATTTTATAACGTACATTCAGTACAAAAATAATGTACATTTAGTATATTAAAAATGTACTTTTGTTATGGTCCATACATCACTGTGCGAAGGAATTTGTTGCTACATACACATCATGCATGTATTTTCATAAAAAAACATTAAAAATTAAAATATTACCCATATAGTGCGCACACGTCTATTGCACACGCCAAACCACTACATAAATGGAGTGGTCGCTTGCGGGAGACCTCTCTAATTTATAATAGTACTTTCAAATTCTAACATTGTCATGTTAGTAAAATGTTTGAATTCCCAATATACAAAGGTAATTGTTCCAACAAATATTTGGAATCCAGTGATTTATCGAGTTTGTAATATCTTTCTCCCAAACACCACACAACTTTTGTACCAATTTGAACATCATATAAGACAAGTCGCGGTCCTCTCACATGTACTTAGTGATGCACAAATTTCTTTTGAATTTGAAATCTCCCAAATTCGATTGCATCAATATAATGCAATTGTAATGGTATTTAATAGGTTACTACCTAGGCAACCTAGCTAGTGGCATTGTTACTAGTCGTCATCGACTAAGATTGGCATCAAATTTTGTTGATGGGACCTGAGTTAGGTTCAAAATGCCAAATCTTTATATCATCAATATGGATTTAAATCTTGCATATAGGGAAATGAAACATCACTGTTATTTTATTTATACTTGTCTTTCCCAAGCTCAATGTGAAAAAAATGTCCAATATATATTTAAAAACTATTAAAGATTTAATTTTCTGAAAAAAAAAAACAAAAAAACAAACAAACAAACAAATAAAGTAAACATTACCTGCTAGATTCAGGCTTTGACGGCGGCCTTTTGAGTAGCGGACTGGTGAACGGCGGTCACAACTCACAAGTCACAAGTGAAGTCGAAGCCCCAAAAGAGATCTAACGTTTCCTAAATAGAGAGTTGAGAGAATGAGCGATTGAGAGGTGAGAGACGACTCAATGTTCAAGCGAGA